CTCACAGAGATCCGCCTGCCTCTGCCTCCCCAGTGCTGGGATTAAAGGCATGTGCCACCATGCCCGGCTAAAATAAAAAAAATTTTTTTAAATGGAGAAAGGGCTGGGAACGAAGTTCAACACTAGGGGGCTTGCACAGCATGAACAAAGCCCTGGGCATTCTATCCTCAGCAGCACCATAAAAAAGTACATTACAGCAGGTGTGGTGGCATGTGCTATAATGACATGGGGAGGCTGAGGCAAAAACTCCAATCTGACTTTAAAAAAAAAAAAGGTGCTGAGCATGGTGGTGCATGCCTTTAATCCCAGCACTCAGGAGCCAGAGGCAGAAAGGCCCAGTTCCCTGCCTGGGATATAGGAATAGATTAGTTCATATCACCCAAGATTGGTTCTCATCCCAGGCTACCCTGAAATTCATTATGTATCCCAGGCTGGCCTTGAACATACTGTAACCCTCTTGCCTCAGCCTCCTAAATTCTGGAATTACAAGCATCAGGCACTGCTCACAGCTTTACATGGTGGATCATGAAAGCAATACATCATAAAAGGCCCAGCTTTCTGTATTAATCATTCTATAATATTGCTGAAATGCATGCTTATAAATAAGCATGCTTGCTGCAGAGACTGTTCAGATAGCTTTCATATAATTACCAGCTGGGTAGTGCACCTTTTTTGGAGACAGGGTCTCCCTATAGCCCCAGCTGACTCCTACCAAGACTTGCTGTACTGGACTCTATGATCTTATTATCTGCCATAAATGCAGAGCCTATCCCATAGCAGCTCAATTAGGCAAAATTAAGCTTGAGAGAGCAGCCGAGTGGGGAAGTGGTACTCACATGGACTCCTCTGGATGCGAACTGTCTGAAGAGTGGAGGTCTTCCTGAAATTAGGCTTAGAGTTGATCAGCAACCTGTCCCATATACCTGAAAACACACACACAATTTATAGCATTAAAATAGAGGCCCTGGGGTACAACTCAGCAGAGGACGGTTCCTCAACAAGCCTCCCAGGAGGTGTCTTCAGTCTTGACCAATCCACACTCTGCCAGATGGGGTACACTGTTGTTGTTGTTAACGTGTTTAAGTACTTTGCCTGTATATTAAGTACACTCATGTTGTGCAATGCTTGAAGAGCCCATAAGAGGGCATCAGATCCCCTGAAACAAGAGTTATAGACAACGAAGTTGTTATGTACTCTGTGGATACTGGGAACTGAACCCAGATCCCAAGAGCAGCCAGTGCTCTTAAGTCACTGAGCCAGCACTCCAGATCCTACATTTTCTTTCTTTCTTTTTTCTAATTTTTTTTTGAGACAGGGTCTCCCCGTAGCCCCAGCTGTCCTTGTACTATGTAGACCAGGCTGGCCTTGAATTCACAGCCATTCGCCTGCCTCTGCTTCCCGAGTGCAGGGATTAAAGGCTTGAGCCACCACACCAGCCATTTTCATTCTTTATATACACCCATCTCCCCTTTCTTAGGCCTGTCTTTCCTCTATTACTCACCTGTATTAAACGCACATCAAACAATCTTCTAGGTAAAACAATTCATCAAACACATCTGCAGTGACACTCTCCACAGCAGTTTAACAATGGTTAAGAAAAACCAGAAACAGGGCCCACAAGATGGCTTTGAGGGAAAAGAGGCTTGTCTGAAAGCCTGAGGACTTGAGTTCCAACCCTAGGACCCAGGTGGAAGCAGAGAAAGGACGCTCCTGGATAAGCATGCATGCATACATGCCTGCATTCATACATACACACGGAGCCAGAAATGGTTTAGTAGCAGCTATTCAAAATTGGGCAAATAACTGATTCGTATTGAACATGTCTCCTCACTGGTAAAACGTGCCTGATTGGTTTACCTTTGGGATGCTCAACCTGGACAAAGAATTTGGAGAATTCTGTACCTTGCTCCCAACCTTCCCACCCTAACTCCTTCCAAGGACCCAACTCATTCTAGCCCATGAAATTTTAAAACAAGGACTTTCAATGCTCAAGCCTTAGACTGGAGAGATGGTTCAGCAGCTAAGAGCACATACTGCTCTTCCAGGGGACCTGAGTTGAATTCCCAGCAACCACATTAGGAGACTCACAACTACCTGAAACTCCAGCTCCTAGTGGATCAGGCTCCTCTGGCTTCTGTGGGCACCTGCACTCATGTGCACATACACACATTTAAAACTACAAATCGCTGGACATGGTAGTGCAGGCCTTTAATCCCAGCACTCAGGAGGCAGAGGCAGGGGAATCTCTCTTGAGATTGACCGCCAGGCCTCACAGAAGCTAAGCAGTTTGGATTCAAGCTTCAGGTTTGCTGCTTGCCAGATACAGTTATTTCTAAAAAGTTACACACCACCATGCCTCAGTTTCCTCAGCTGTAAAATGCAGACAGTTATAAAACTTCTACATGGAACTGATGTATTATCTCTAGGGCATAATAAATACTACATAAGCTTTGGCAATCAGCATTATTAGAACTTCAGATATGCTTGGTTCTCACGTTCCCAGGTGTGATGACACAGACCTTTAATCCCAGCACTCAGTATGCAGAGGCAGGCGGATCTCTGTAATTCCAGACCAGCCAGTTCTATATAGTAAGTCCAAGTCTCAAAACAAAACTAAAAAGGTACTTGACACTTCTATTGACAAAAATTCTACAGGTACCACCACCCTGTTTTCAAAATGTCAAAAGAGGGCCCGAATAAAGTGAACAACTTTCATAAAACACAGGTGCCAAGATGAAGAGCCAAGTTTTTCAATTCTTACCACACTATCTGCAATGCTGCGTGGATTTCCAGGACGCACATCTCCCTCCACGCGGGAGACACTAAGTGTCTGTATGCCCAGGACCGAGAGGATGTTAAAATGATACTCCCCTGTTCTCCTAAAAGCAATTATCCCTTTGGGCTGGAGGGAACAGCATGGCAGGGTGGGGGCGGGGCTGAGCACGAGCCCAGAACGGGGGGGCCGTGGTTTCACCCCCACCGCCCCAAAACACGGGCGCCGCGCCCCGCCCCCCGCAGGATCCCCCGCTCCCCCCCCTCACCCGCCCCCCCCCCCCCCCCCGCAGGATCCCCCGCTCCCCCCCCTCACCCGCCCCCCCCCCCCCCCCCGCAGGATCCCCCGCTCCCCCCCCTCACCCGCCCCCCCCCCCCCCCCCGCAGGATCCCCAGCTCCCACGCATCACGCGCCCCCCTCCACGTGACATCTCCTGCTCCCGCAGCGTTCCCCACGCCCACCCCCCGGCCACTTCCCGGGACCCGCTTAGCATCCCCGGATCCTACCGCATCCCGGGACCCCAGCAGCATCCCCAGTTCCCGCCGCATCCCCAGCCACCCCCCGCATGCCCGGCTCCCGCAGCATCCCTAGCCCCACCAGCATCTCCGGCTCCCGCAGCATCCCTAGCCCTCCTAGCATCTCCCACCACAATCCCGAGGGCCCAACTGGTCCATGCCGAGGCTCACCTCCTCGGCCCTCGCTCCCCGCCGTCAGCAGCTCCGTGGACACAGAGACCTCCGAGTTGTCCGCGGAGGACGAAGAACAGCCAGGGCCGGAGTCACGCGCAGCAACCTCCATGCTTCTGTAGAAGGCGTGGGACGAAACCCGGATACGGAAAAGCGGAGAGGGGCTGGACCAAGGCCACGATTGGAGGCGACTCGGGTGTGGGCGGGGCGGAGGGGGAAAGCGGGTAGCTTGGGAGCGAAAAGCCGGAGAGGGTGGGGGCGGGGCTGACCGTTCAGCCCCGTGGCGCCGAAGGGACAGTCACGGTCTGGAGTTAGATTCTGACAGCTGAGGAAAGTGGTTTCCGAGGCTCAATTTTGAAAAGAAGCAGGAAGCCTCCCTTGTCTTTATTGTATTTTTATTTTTATTTTTTTTTTTATGGCTTCAAGTTTGTGACAACCCTGACTCAGTGGAGAGCTGAGGTTATAGGTGTAGCTACCAGACCCAGATGCCTTATTCCATTTTCTTTTAAGAACGGTAATTGGAAGCCACATACGAGTTCCATGCCTTTAATCCCAGCACTCAGGGAGGCAGAGGCAGGCGGATCTCTGTGAGTTCAAGGCCAGACTGGTCTAAATAACGAGTTCCAGGGCAACTGGGGCTACAGGGAGACCCTGTCTCAAAAAGACCAAAAAAAAAAAAAAAAAAAAATCAAAGGAAAAAAAGAATGATAATGGAGGGGTGAAGCCTGGAGAGCTGGCTCAGCGGTAAGGGCAGCCAGTGCCCAGTGCACTTAACCACTGGGTGTCCCAGCCACATGTGACGGCTAACAATGTTTCATAACTCCAGGTCCAGGAAATCCGAAGCCCTGTTCTAACCTCCGAAGGCACTGCACGAGATGGGTGCATTTACAAGCAGGTAATACACTCATACACGTAAAATAACGATAATACTTTGTCTTTTTTTTTTTTTTTTTTTTTTTTGAGACAGGGCCTCCCTGTAGCCCAGGTTGTCCTGGAACTCAAGTAGACCAGGCTGGCCTTGAACTCACGGAGATCTGCCTCCCAAGTGTTGGGATAAAGGCGTGCGCTACCATGTGGGCAAAATTAAATATTTTTTAAAAGGAGAGGTGGCTCAGAAATTAAGAGTACTGGCAGCTCTTGCAGAGGACACCGCTACTGACAATCGTCCATAACTCTGTTCCCTGGCACTCTAGCACCCTCTTCTGGCTTCTGAGACACTGCATGCACAGGTGCACCCGTACACACAGGTAAAACACATATACAATTTTTTTTTAAGAAATGAAAAAAAACCTCACCTTGGCTTCTGAGGTCATGGGATATGGGATTAGATGGGCAGATGGGAACAGTCTGAGGAAGCAGAGAAACTGACTACATATTCTTCTTTGAGACAAAGGCTGCATAACCTGAGGCATTATGAATCAGTCCCTGATGACCTGCTTATTCATAAAAGTCATTAGGGACAGCTGTGCCCCGCAACGCTCACGGGTGGACTGCATACAGGCTGGAAAACCACAAATACACGAAATAAATATAAATAAAAACCAAAGCCAGTCGTGGTGGTACACGGCAGAGGTGGGGGCGGAGAATGATCTCTGAAATGGAGACCCACCTGGCCTACATAGCAAGTTCCAGGCCAGCTAGAGCTGCAGAGAGACCCTATCTCAAAAAGACAAAAAAAAAAAAAAAAAAAAAAAAAAACCAAACACAAAAAAACACAAAAAACAAATTACCCTCAAAGTTAGTGCTCAACACAACAAATGTTTATCTCACAGTTTCTGTAGCTCAAAAATCTGTACAGGGTTGAGGAGATAGCTCAGATGGCTATGTAGACCAGGCTGGCCTCGAACTCACAGAGATCTGCCTGCCTCTGCCTCCCGGGTGCTGGGATTAAAGGCATACATCACCACACCCGGCCTCTTTGAGGGTAATTTGTTACATAACAATTGATAACTAAGACAAGTCCAAAGAAATGGAAATGTATGTCCACATAAAGACTTGATTGTGGATGTACATGGCAAGTTTATTCATAATGATCAAAACTGAAAAGACAATTGCTCATTAACTGATGAATAGCTAAAGAAATTTTGATGCTTCTATACAATGAAAATGACTTAGCAATGAGTCTGAAGAGATGACTCAGTGGTTAAGAGCACCAACTGCTCTTGCAGAGGACCGGGGTTCAATTCCCAGCACCCACATGGTGACTAACAACCAGCTTCAGGGGATCCAATGCCACCTAATCTCTGCAGGCATTGAACGACACAGGTGCACTTACACACATGCGGGCAATACACTCATATACATAAAATAAAAATAATAAAGAAAATTACTTAGCAAAAAGAAAAGTAAAATTGTCGGGCATGGTGGCACACTCCTTTAATCCCAGCCCTTGTTAGGCAGAGGCAAGGTGGGTCTCTCAGATCAAGGCCCAGCCTGGTCTACATAGTGAGTTCTAGGCCAGCTGGAGCTACAGGAAGACTTTGTCTCAAAAACTAGAAAGAAAAGGGTCAAATTATTGATACATGCAACAGGGACGAATTTCAAAAGCATTATGATAAAGAAGTTAGACCTACAAAATGAGATATTTTCTCATTCCATCTATTTAAAATTCTGGAAAAGGGACAGGGAAAACAGGGATCAGCAAGATGGTCCAGCGGGTAAAGTGCCTGCCATACAGGCCTGAAGATCTGAGCTCAATGCCTGGGACCTATATAAAGGTGGAAGGAGAGCACTGACTCCACAGAGTTGTCCCTTGACCTCCACATCCTGCTGTGGCAAATGTGCACCCCCATACACATACCATGCATGCTCATCATACACACTCACACACTTCAATAATTTTTTTAAAGTCTTTAAAAAATAAGGGTTGCCGGGTATGGTGACACACACCTTTAATCCCAGCACTTGGGAGGCAGAGGCAGGCAGAGCTCTGTGAGTTCAAGGCCAACCTGGTTTACATAGCAAGTTCCAGGTCAGCTGGGGCTACAGGGAGACCCTGTCTCAAAAAGACCAAAGAAAAAAACCTAAAAATTAAAAAAATATATATGTAAGGGTTGGTGAGATGGCTCAGCAGGTAAAGGCACTTGCCACATAACAATGTAAGCCTGTTGACTTGAGTTTGATCCCTGGAATCCACATAAAGGTGGAAGGAGAGTACTGACTCAATACCCACGCAGTGGTACATGCCCTCCCCATTATACATATGCAATAGTAATGAATAAAATGTCAACATCAATAATAAATGAAAAAGTAGAGATGGAAAACAGATCGGTGGTAGCTGGGGCTGAGCCTCTGAAATGCTCTATATGATTGTGGTAGTGGAAAACACAATTCTCCATACTTACTAAAACTCGATGAATTGTATGCTTATACTTTTAAAATTATGTCAGACATTAAACTAGAAGGAATATGAGAGCAAATACTTCCCCCCCTGCACACAAAAATGTTAAAACTAAAGATAGAAAAACGCAGCTGTTAGGACTGAAGAAATGGCTCAGTGGGTTAAAAGCACATGCTGCTCTTAACAGAGGACTGAGTTAGAATTCCAGTATCCAGATCACAGCTTTCTATAATTCCAGCTCCAGGGGATCCAACACCCTCTTCTGGACTCCTGCACCACACATGCACATACATATATACACACACACACACACACACACACACGCACGCACGCAGATACATACAAATAAGTAAAATATTACTTTTTTTTGTCTTTTTGAGACAGAGTGTTACTGTAGCCCCAGCTGTCCTGGAACTTACTATGTAGAGCAGGCTGGCCTTGAACTCACAGAGATCCACCTGTCTCTGCCTCCCAAGTGCTGGGACTACAGGCATGCGCCACCAGGCCCAGAAAATGTTACTTTTTAATATAAAAAAGGAATAGCTGTGCCTGGAAATGTAGCTCAGTGGGATAGCACTTGTCTAGGATGCAGAAGACTCTGGATTTGATTCCTAGCACTGCAAAGCTGGGTGTGGGGGCACTTGCCTCTAAGCCCACCACTTAAAAGGTGGGAGGATCAGGAGTTGGAGGTGACCCTCAGCTATGTAGCCAAGCCTGGACTACATGAGATTCTGTCTCAAAAAGAAGAAAAAAATTAAATGAAAGGAATAACTGGAAGTATAGTTCAGAGAACAAGCCCCTGAGTTCAATCCTCAGCACAAAGAGAAAGAGAAAAATAGAAAGGAAGAAAAGTATTTCAAGATTTTAGGAGAAGCTGGATATAGTGGTACACTCCTTTGATCCTAGCATTTTGGAGGCAGAGCAAGTTAGATCTCTCTAAATTCAAGGCCAAGCCTGATCTGACAAGCTCTAGGCCAGTCAGTGCTATGTAGGGAGACCCTGCCTCAAAACAACAGCAACAACAAAAGATTTTTGGAGAAGATGATGAAGACAGAAGATAAGAGTTTCCAACACTGTCTGGAGGCTGGAAGGTTAATAATTAAAGTTCTGGTGGGACTGCTTTGTTTTTCTTTTTCTTCAGTGCCTGGGAGAAGTGAACCCAAGCCTCATGCATGCTAGGTGATGCTCTACCACTGAGCCACACTCTCAACCCTGGTGCTGTAATTCTGATTTCAAGATAGCATTTTGAATGCTGAGTACTCTGGAGGGGAGGAATGCTTCATCTCTGTCAGACAGGATGATGATGGTGATGGTGGTAATGGTGATAGTGATAAAAACAACATTAAATAGCCAAGCGCAGTGGCCCATGCTTTTAATCCCAACACTCGGGAGGCAGAGGCAGGCAGGTATCTGTAAGTTCAAGGCCAGCCTGGCCTACATAGTGAGTTCCAGGCCAGCTGGGTCTACAGGGAGACCCTGTCTCAAAAATGAAAAAAAAAGGCATTAAATTTTTAAAAAGGGGGAGCCATGCCAGGAGTGGTGGTGCACTCCTTTAGTCCCAGCACTCAGGAGGCAGAGGCAGGAGGATTTCTGTGAGATCAAGGCCAGCCTGATCTACATAGGGAGTTCCAGGCCAGCTTTGGCTACATAGTGAGATACTTTGTCTCAAACACACACACTCACACACAAAGAGCAAGTCTACATAGGGAGTTCCAGGCCAGCTTGGGCTACATAGTGAGATACCTTGTCTCACATATACGTACACACAAAGAGCAAGTCGTAAATACTGTTAAAATA